AAATCAGTGGCCAGACATTAAGAATCAGTAGTTGCCTGTCCAGGTTATAACATGGGCTAAAACAGAAGAGAAAAAAATAATTCTAAGCTGCTTTTATAGTAATTTGGGAAATAAAATTAAAAAGTCTAAAGCTGGGTGCAATGGCACACCTGTAATCCCAGCTATTCTGGAGGCAGAGGCGGGAGGATCCCTTGGCCCTAGGAGTTTAAGACCAGCCTGGACCTGGGCAACATAGTAAGAACCCATCTCGGCATGAGTGTGGTGGCTCGCGCTTGTAATCCTGGCACTTTGGGAGGCCAAGGTGGGTGGATCAGTTGAGGTCAGGAGTATGAGACCAGCCTGGCCAATATAGTGAAACTCTGTCTTTACTGAAAATACAAAAATTAACTCGGTGTGATGGCAGGCACCTGTAATCCTAGCTACTTGGGAGGCTGAGGCAGGAGAATCTCTTGAACCCGGGAGGCGGAGGTTACAGTGAGCTGAGATTGCGCCACTGCACTCCAGTCTGGGCAACGAGAGAGACTCTGTCTCAAAAAAAAAAAAAAAAAAACCCTCTAAAAAAAAAAAAAAAAAAAAAGAAAGCGAGAGCAAGAGCAAGAAAGAGAGAGAGAGAGGAAGACAGACAAGAAAAAACGTCTATACCCAAGGTTCATGTTTGGTTTTTTTCCTGTGTCTTTTTATCTTTAATCTAACAAATGACTAAATAGGTTTGTCTAGAGGCAATGACAAGATGGGGAGTAAGAAAGAAGCGTAGAAAAGCTGGTATGTAATCAACTAAAGGGAAAACAAAAAGGAAAGTATAATAAACAAGCTGAACTACACACATGTAGAGCAATAAAACTGCATCGAAGTTATGTTAATATTGAAAGAACCAATGAAATCAAAATTGTAGATGAAACGTGTTTGCTTAAGTCTGGAAGCTAATGTACCATTAATTAAGATGCAAATAATCTGACATACTTTCTGAACTCTAGCAAAACTCTTCCATTTTTATTTATTTAGTTTTCGAGACAGGATCTCTCTGTATTGCCCAGGCTGGAGTGTAGTGGGGTGATCATAGCTCACTGCAGCCTTGAACTTCTGGGTTCAAGCTATCCTTCCACCTCAGCCTCCCATGTAGCTGGGATGACAGGTACGCACCATCACAGCTGATTAATGTTTAAACTGTTTTGTAGAGACATAGTCTTGTTATCTTTCCGTGTTGCCCAGACTGGTGTCAAACTCCTGGCTTCAAGTGATCTTCTCACATTGGCCTCCCGAAGTGCTGGGATTATAAGTGTGAGCCACTCTGCCCAGTCAGATCTGTTAATTTTGTATCCATTTTAGATCCAGTTTAGTTTAATAAACATTAGTTGAGCTCCTGCTGTTTTCCAGACATGGCCAGAGGCTGATGACCTCATGTAAGCTGTGGAAGAATTCCAGTGTAACTGGGGAGATACTAAGAAAGCAGGTCCTTTCAATGTAATAAAACAGGATGCAATAAGATAAAATGTTGTTACAGAAATGATTTCTAATTAAAAAAAACTTGTTTCAAACCAATTAAAACTATGTAAATGGCCAGATGCAGGATGAGCTAGGATTCTGGAGACAGATAAATATAGTTCTGAGTCCTGCCTCTGCCTTTGTGTGACTGAGCAAATTACCTTATTTGTAAAAGACTATGTATAAAATACAGGCTTTAAAAATACATACATCATACAGTTATTTGGAAACTCAGCCACTGTTACATGTTAATTATTATTATAGTTATTATTGAACTAGTACTATTTTACCATGATTACACAAAGCCATGGAAAATAATTACATCCAGGAAGATCATAGAATGCCTTGACTTTATATACCATGGTTTTATCAAATATATATTTAGTCTTCCAAAATATACAAATGTTTGGCCTTTGCAGGAAAAAAAGCTCGTGTTTTTCTTTTTCCACTCAGATGTTTTGACATCATATAGACTCTAATGTTTATATTTTGTTGTCAAGATGCAATTAGAACCTTCCAAATTACCATCTACGGTGTTCAAAGTTATTTATGCTCACATTAGGTTTGACACCACACGTTTATTAGTCACTTCAGTGCTGTTACGATTTTTGTATCATACAACATTTGATGCCAAAGCCTTTATAGCAGATGTGCTCAATAAGAAAAAACTTTTCAAGAAATTTTCATCTATATTAGTTATCTCCCATAAATGTACTTCTTCTTGGTACACTTAATCTCTGTCTCCTTCAGCGTCTACCATCAAAACACCTCTGGCAAGGTCATCTCTCCTGCCCTGGAGACACTGCCCTACCCTGCTGATTCTGTAAGGAATTTGGTATTACAGTGTCTGGCCCTGTCCTCAGGTTCGCTGGTCACCTCTTCTCTCCGACTTTGGACCTGTCTTAGCATTCCTTAAATCCATCCAGGTATGGCTGGCTCTTCCTTGGTCCCAGCTGACTCAGTCCCAAGATTCTTCCCCAACATTGCCTCTGGCCTCAGAACCAGCATCTTTGCTCTTACTTTTTTCACTCCTAACCAGGCATTCTTCTTGCATCAGTCTTTGTTTCCAAGAATTTCTCATTTAGTGTTCATTCTCATGTTCTATGGGAAATACACCCGTATCTTCCAAACTTGTTAACTCCATTTGGTTCTCTCTAATTTTGTAAAGACTCATTTTGTCTGAGAAAACCCTACAGCCTCCCTTGTCCCTTAGATATGATTCATCAATGGAATCTCCCTGCTTTTCCTGGTTGAAGTGCTACAGTCTAATGTAACCCCACTGGGAATTTTCATAACTTCTTGTCAACTCTGAGGTTTACAAAATTGTTGAGCTCACTTCCTCATTTCAGTGATTGTGGAACTAACCCAACATAGAACCAAAATTTAGGGTGGCTGTCATTAGAATGATTTCTAAACAAAAGTGTGAATGATGTTGCTTGCCTGACAGAAAATTTATTCACCACTTCCCCCTACCCCAGCATTACCCCTTTAGAAATCAATAGGCTTTCCAAACAGGTTCTCCCTTTCGTCCTTCCTTCTCTGCCACAGCCCCATCACCAACATTTCAGATCCTCTTAGCACATTTATTAGTCCATGAAGCGTCTTCCTGAAGGTCACACTAAGTGTTAACAGTGATTTAGTGAGTTTCCCCAACCCACTTGTAGTCTTTAGAAAAGCAAACAAATACACTTTTAAATGGGAAGTGAATTGAGTGGGGAGTGTTCGCCCTTCAAGTAGGGGAATTTTGTGATTTTGGGCATGTAGGTGGAGAGTGAGTGTGAGAGGTTTAGTGCTTTCCTGTACCCATCTAACGCCGGGACCCAGGCCCATATTTGTTTGACTGATTGTGCCAGACGTTTTATGTGTTCTTCCAACAGTACCAGTACTGAGTAATAGTACTCAAGTTTATCCAGAAACTCGAGTTTTTACCATGTCCAAGTAAAAGAACGATCATCTCTGTTCAACCTTGTCTCTCTTCTGTGGAATCTTCCCCACGTTGCATAACTGTCTTGGAGGGAGACGTGTTCTCTCCCCTTTTATATAACCTTGTTCTCTTCTAGAGAAACGGCTCTGTGTTAAAGACACTTGAGGGAAAATGACATTACTGAGGAGACGATATTTTGTTGTCCCTTCAAAGCCAATGGGCAGTGATTCAAAAGCATTTAGGGAAATAGAAGTAACTCTTTGTAAGCTAACCAAACAGTGGCCTGAACTCTTTTACCTTGTGACTTCTTATGAGTGCTTAGTTTAGTCGCCTGAAGATCGATCTTGAAAGTAACAGGCTACTTGGGATTATAACAAGATTATTTAGAGACTCAAACATTCCCGAGTTCCTTCAGTAGATGACTTCTATCATGCCAACTAACTAAAAGGCCAGTGGTCCCAAAGTGGGGTGCACATGATCTATTGAGGTACAGGAAAAGGGAATAATAAAAATATATAAATGTATCATTATTAATAAATGCCATCTTTAAAAAGATGTATTTTTATGAATGATTTATATTATTCACAATATATTAATAACAATTATGTCATTCATAAATAAAAACAGATATATGGTGGTACATGCTCAAATTTTACTTAAACTAGTAAGAAGGAGGGATCAAATACAGTGAAAATCTACTGATTAGGGAACACTTTGGCTGTAATACCCTCTTCCCTCTAATGTATGCATTATAATAAAGACAGGTTCTAATATCACCTCCTAAAACTGGGAGGAATTTTAAACATTCTCCCTTCTATACCATCAGAACAATGTAGTTTTACTTTCACTACCTTTAAAAACATTAAGGAAAGTAGAGAACAATATTCAGATTAGTTTTAAGGTCAATTTTCCTATCTCCTTCTATAAGTTTCTAGGATTTTGTATATTTGGTGTGTAATATATTAAATATGTTGTATTTTTCTATGCTTTTAATCACAAAAAGATCCTTGCTTAAAACAAACATTTTCTAAAGACATCAAAGGTCATGTAGAAAAACATAATATAAAAAGTATTTGCAAGTTGGGCGTGGTAGCTCCCCACCCACCTACAGTTGGCTCCTTTGTCTGTAATCCTAGCACTTTGGGAGGCAGAGGTGGAAGGATCACTGCTCCTCACCCACCTACAGGTGTCTCCCATGCTTGTAATCTCAGCACTTTGGGAGGCAGAGGTGGGAGGATCACTTGAGCCCAGGAGTTCGAGACCAGCCTGAGTAACTTAGCGAGATCCTGACTCTACAAATAATTGAAAAAATTAGCTGGGCATGGCGGCCCATGCCTATAGTCCTAGCTATTTGGTCTTGAACTCCTGGCTTCAAGCAGTCCTCCCACCTCAGACTCCGAAAGTGCTGGGATTACAGGCATGAGCCACCACACCTGGCCTATCCTACCTATTTGGGAGGCCAAGGTGGGAGGATTGCTTGAGCCTGAAAGGTCGAGGCTGCAGTGAGCCATTATTGCGCCACTGCACTCTAGCCTGCATGGCAGAGCAAGATCTTATCTCAAAAATAAATAAATAAATAAATAAATAATTTACAGTTGTGTGCCATAGCTTATTAGCAACAGAAGAGAAATTATAGCACACTATTGCTGATACCACAAGGGAACACATATTTGTGGTGTCTGTCTTTCATGTGTTTTTATTTTAGGAAATGAATGCTGATGTTAGGCAACTTAACCCCTTCCTTGTGACTTTTGCTCCTGTTTGCAAGCTGGGTATCTCTTACACAGGCATTAACAAGTAGGCTGACTGTCGGGACAAGCCCAGAGATAGCATTGTTTGTATTTGCTGATAAATGACTCTGGGACTGTGAAGACTCAGAACCAAGGAGTGACTCAGAAAGTCAGGGGCCCATGTCATTCTGCTCTGGGCTCAGACGCGCAGTGCAGCAGCACCAGGACTTGACAGCCCTACGGCTCGATCAGCTTTCTGTTTTCATTGCTTTATGATGCCGTGAGTGGAACTATTGGCAAATCAGAGTTCACACCCCAGCTTTTCAGTCTTTCCCCTAATTCTTGCTCTATCAGAGGTCGAGGACAACAGTATAATGATTCATAGGCCCTACTTCCTGGCAAGTAATCATTTTCCCACGGTGAGTAATGATTTTTACTGAGAGGGGTAAAGAATGGTGATTTGCTTTTTTCTGTGTGGCCTTTCTGCTGACAGAGGGTTGGCTAGGAATGCCTTTTTTTCCTTTTGTAAGGTCATCTAGAAAATGTTTTAAAGTATTTTAATGTTTTAAACGTAAGCTCTTTAAATATATATATTATTCGTAGACAACTGGAATAATCCCCTCATATACTTTGTTAAAAAACAAAGACAATTTTGAAATTTCCTTTTTTATGTTGGCATGTGAGGACTCAGTGTGCCTCATAGAAGTCAAGAGCTGTAGAGGCCCACTACAACCCCACTTTTTAGATGGGAACACAGAGACCCAGAGAAGTTAATTGAGTTGTTCCTTTCCACAGAACTGGTTAGTGACAGAGACAGATTGAGGCTTAAATGAGCTCATCATAGGCTATGATTTTATCTAACATTAGGTTTACTTGTACCATGTCATAAGGGGAAATCTAGGTTTAAAGAAGTCTGTGACTTTCACAGTGAACCACATAAATTAATGACAGAAAGGTCAAGGCAGAAGCATGGTAATTGGTATCGGATGGACCTTGGCTTGAATCGTGGCCCTGGAACTGCGTGATGTTGGTTAATTTACTTAATTTATCTGAGTATGTTTTCTCACTTTACAGATGAGAATGGGGATAATAATGTCAATTTCATATCATCTGATGTAAGAATAAGAGATAAGGCATGCAAGGCTCCTGACACATGGTAGGCTTTCGATAAACAGAAGCTCTAATTATTTTTTAAAACTAAGCAACACCTGTCCTTGCTCTCTGGGTTTCCTTTTCAAAGCAGCCCTAGTTATACTTTGCACTATCTTAGAACTTTGCTTTGTCAGACTCAACAGCTAGTTTTCTCAAGCCACTACTGGAATTTTTCCCTTAGTACTTTGCGTCTGAGTTGTCTCATTTCCTGGAAGCCCTGTCACAGGCCAGTACGCTGTTACAGAACATGATCTGAAACCTCACTGGCAAGGGAAGTTCCCTTCAAATGAGGCATTTTTTTCCCTTCTGGAGTTTCACACTTCTCTTTCAGATCATGCAGGCAACCCCTCAACCCGAGGACACAGATGAAGGTCCTGCCCCGACAGTCCTGTGAACAGTGTGGGTGTAGTGGGGAGGCTGAGGGTCTGGGCACATTTGCCCCATATGTCGTCACTCCCACCATTTCTGCCTCTGTACCTCCATGTCCTTTCAGCTGCCCCATAAATGACCTTTTTTTTTTTCCTCTTCCCTTTGGTCTCCCCCTCCCACCTCATCAGGACCAACTCTTTTTTTTTTTTTTTTTGAGACAGAGTCTGGCTCTGTCGCCCGGGCTGGAGTGCAGTGGCCGGATCTCAGCTCACTGCAAGCTCCGCCCCCCGGGTTTACTCCATTCTCCTGCCTCAGCCTCCCGAGTAGCTGGGACTACAGGCGCCCGCCACCTCGCCCGGCTAGTTTTTTTGTATTTTTTAGTAGAGACGGGGTTTCACCGTGTTCGCCAGGATGGTCTCGATCGGCCTCCCAAAGTGCTGGGATTACAGGCTTGAGCCACCGCGCCCAGCCAGGACCAACTCTTGAAACATCCATTGGAAATTTATAGGAGTCTGTGATATGTGAGGGATTATTGGAGCTTTGCATTTCTGTGTGTTCTCACTTCCTTTAGAGCTCGCAGGGATTTCCTAAGCAGCCTCTTCGGTGCCCAGTGACCAACACTGCCTCCCTCCCCCTGTGATGGGGAATTGCCATCTAGGTGCAGGTGGTTCTTCTTTTACTTCTTCTTTTCTAAAAAACACAGTTGCAAAAATATGCACCTTATGTTCAGGTCTAGCAACGAAAAAAGTTGCTCTAGTGATTTTTGTAGTGTTTTTTCTGTAACTGAAATGCTATTTACATATCATGATAAAATATAGTCCATTTCATTAAATAGGCTCCTTCCTTTAATCCAAATGTGTGTGTGTGTGTGTGTGTGTGTGTGTGTGTGTGTGTGTGTGTATAGTTTAGTGCCATACTTTCTAGATATTTTGTCACCAGGGAATTTCCCACTTCAGTATACATTGTAACATAAGTGAACAATCTGCAATATATATTTTTTGAGACAGAGTCTTACTATGCTGCCTAGGCTGCAATATTTTTTTAAACATTAATATTTAAATAGAGATTTGTACTAAGTGTTTTGAAAATCCTTTAAATCACATTAAATATCATAAATGAGATTTTTCATGAGAAAATATAGCCTCAATCCCATCCTTTTATTTTAATGATTGGTTTTGCTTTCATATATTAACTTTCATTTTTTATTCTTGTATTATAATTTCATTAGGGTGCGGTTTAAAATTTGTGCTATCAAAGTGAAACTAGCTATTGCCTCACATTTACTGCTTTTCTGATTTTGTGTGCACTGTCCTCTGTAAACTATAATGGACCAAGTAACTATGAAACCAACATCTTCTTCCCTATAGATTGGTCCTCTGGGAAGCCCCTGGATCAAGCTCCAATTCTGGCAGTTTCAAGAACAATAGAAAAAGTTCCAGCATGGCTTATTTTATTCATTCCACAAATATGTATTCAGAGTGTACCAAATATTGAATGCTACTATGTTGATTGGGGACACAGGATGTATAATCATTACAACATATTGAAGATGGAGGGAAAACACATAGAGGAAACTATTTTGGTGCTTTTGTGATTCTGTAAGTGGCTCAGAATCAATTAGAGGAAAACATGGTCTCTGTTTTTGGGTTCTGCAAGGTTGGAAGAGGTGGATGTGGAAATAAAGTAAAATGAGGGGGCATGGTAAACTGTGGCCTGGTGGTGGGGTGGAGTTTGTATTTCAGGATACATAAAGTAATGAGCCTTATGATTGGCTGGATTGGATAGCTTAGTATCTGGGACAATAAACTAGGAGTTTTGCTTACTTGTTGGTGAGTGGGGGAGGTGGGTAGGGGAGATTTAAACTGAATTAGCAGGATTGATTCTCACTGAAAAGGAGACAAAGACAATTCTAACAGATTTCAGGAAAACAGAACTTTATTGCTTATGTAACCAAAAAGTCCCAGGCTGGAATTGACCTCAATTTTGGCTGAAATTAAGTCTTCCAACAAAAGTTCTATAAGTTTGCCTTTCTTCGGCTTTCAACTTAGCTTTCTTCCTTATTCTATTTTAGGCAGGCTTCCTCATATGATGGCAAAGATGGCTATAAACATTTATGGCTTAAATTCTACAAGTTTTGAAGCTTTGTTGGGAAGTATATGTCTTTTTTTGCTTTGTTTGGCCCAGCTTGGCTAGTCTCAATCCATACGGTTTGGATGAGGGCTAATCCTGGAGGCAGGTGGTGGGATTGGCCCTTATACAAACCATATCGATTGAGAATGGCAAACGGGACATCTCCATGGGGAAGGAATGTGTTGTGTTATCAGGAGAGGCACGCTGGGTAGGTGAAAGCCAAGAATGACCACAATACAGATCTCTTTGAGGATCCGTTGAAGAAATGGACCTTCTCTCTTTAGAAAAGTGCTCTTGGCTGGATGTGCGGCTCGTGCCTGTGATCCTAGCACATTGGGAGGCCAAGGCAGGAGGATCACTTGAGCCCAGGAGCTTGGGACAATCCTGGGCAACATAGCAAAACCTGACCTTTATTGAAAAGATTAAAAAAAAAAATAGCCAGGGGTGGCGCACACTCCTACAGTCCTGGCTACTTAGGAGACTAAGACAGGAGCTTCACTTGAGCCCAGGGGTTCAAGGATGTGGTGAGCTGTAATTGTGCTGCTGCATTCCTATCTGGCCAATGGAGTGAGACCCTGTCTCAAAAAATAACAATTATCATAAAATAAAACATAAAGCACATATAAACATAACATTATTCTGCTCACAATTTCAGAAGTTCACAGACCTTCTGAAGTTATATATATCCATACCCTAGAGTTCCATAGATTCTAGCTCAAAAACTCTGCTCTGTAATATGGAATAATTGTGGATAAGCATTGTGACATTTTGGTCATATCTCCCACACCCACTGGAAAGACTTACACGTATTAAGCCCTCAATACATTTAGTGATTACATGAATGAATGAACCAAGTAACATTTTTGTGTGTGTGTGTGTGATCCAGTATACTGGTATTATGCTCATGTTTTACATATGTTTCCTTATTCATTCTTCTAACATTATTTTATGAATAAAGAAACAGAAGCTAAGCTAGGGAATAAAGTGAGCTGAAAAGCTAGAATTGACAAACCTGGAAAGGAGATGAGAGCAGCTGTGAAGTTCAAGGGCAGAAAGTCTATAGGAGCAGGGGGTTAGTCTGGGGTGTCAGAGAATGTTGTGGGATTCACTGTTGTGGCTCAGCTGATCCTAGTTCACAGCCTCAGCCAGGGAGGCCATCACCTCCGAGGCCTCAGGCCACTATGTGGCTGCTAACCCCTATGGAGTTCTTGTCAGTGGCAAAAACATTTTACCATTTTCTCCCTATCATAGCCCCTTAAAATAATACTTTAGTCTCATATTTTTAGTTTCTACTTCAGAACCTGCACTTGAGCTAAAACTGTATTGTTGTGGTTGAGATTTATTTTCAACTCAATTATTGGATTCACTCATGGGATAATTAGAAGCCCCGTAGATAGTTGCTCAAGTTAGTTTAAACTCACCACTGGAAGATCCCAGAATTGTCAAGGTTGTACTTCTGAAAAAAATGATGAAAACTATATGTAAGTGGCTGGAGAGAAGCAAATTGAACAGCAGATTAAAGAGAATGTCTTCAATCTTATGGCATATCAAGTATTGGGTCAGCAGAAGAAAGTGGTTGAAACAATTACCATGAAGTCACCAAGTTTGGCAGATTTGAGAGATCACATGTTTAAAGAGAGATTTTTGTTCTGTTTTCTTGCCTCAGGGCCCTTGTGAATTGATGAATATGAAGGCACTAAGAAAGCAGAAATAGAACTGAGAAGAATGAAATAACTGTCTCTACCTTTCTCGAATTGTCTAATTTGGAAGGACTGAAAGACAGCTAATAAGCAACTCTCTGCAAGAAGACATATGGCTTAGATTCCGCTGAGCTATTGATGATTGATTCCATGCATATATATTAACTGCTGGTATATGTATATACAATACATGTGCTTCTGCAAAGAATCATAGACTTGATGCATTTTTAAATATTTCTTAAGGACTTACTACTGAGTGTCAGTATGAGAGGATCGTTTACTTCCTTTTCCCATTAATTTTGACAGCCTGGATTGAGCAACTTTCTTCTTACCTAGTATTGTTTTAGGAGGTGCATTAGCTTTTTCTTTGTCTGTATGTTTGTGTGTGCGTAGCTTTATTAACCATATTGTTTGGGCTTTTGATAAAGCAGAGATTCTGATATGGTATACATTTTGAACTAAGCATTCATTGAATAAATGAATGGGGATGTATGTTTAAGACACTGTGCTAACCAAGGGTGAGAAGGGGTGTGTAATGGTAGATGAGCAAGGTGAGATAAGATATTAAAAGACACCTGCTGAGAATGTTATTTTATATGGCAGAAAGATGTTTGCAGATGCAGTTAAGTTAAGGACCTTGAGATGGGGTACGTTATCTCGGCAGGCCCAATGTATACATCAGGGTCCTTATGAAAGGGAGGCAGGAGAACAGAATGAGTAGTGAGAAGAGTGAATGGACAATATTGAGGACATGCTTAGGGACCCAAAGAAGCTTGCTATGGTAGGGCTTGGTGGACTCTGCACTGGTGAGAAAGGCTAGGCCATGCGGCGGAAGCAAACAAATCTGTGTTGTAAAGTGACAGAGTTTCTCTCTTGCTCATGCCAAGTCTGCTAAATGGCTGAGTGATTCTCAAGGGCAGCCCTCACTCATGTGATGGGTCTGCTGTGTGTGCTTTCCTGGTAGCCAGGCAGGTCAGGAGAATGTTAGAAATGAAACCCTTCCTTCTGGTGGCCGAAAGAAGTCACATGGCCACATCTGTTGATAATTTGAAGGTGGTAGGACAATATAATATTCCCTTGTCCTAAAAGAGGGAAGCTAGAAATATTAGTAAGTAGCACATATATCTTCTCCATGATCTCAACTTTGTTGGGTAGAGAGGCATTTTAAATAACTTTGGAATTTACATATATTCCTTAAATATCTAGTGATAACTCCATGTCTAAATCCAGGGTACCCACTTTCTTCCTTAAAGATGTTTGAAAGTCCTGCGTTCTCTCAGTATTGTTACAGAGCCACATTTCAGTTGAATTGTTAGTGCTGAGAAAAGCATTATTTATTTTATTTCTATGTTAGGTTTTTTTAGAGACAGGGTTTTGCTATGTTGCCCCGGCTGATCTTGTACTCCTGGGCTCAAGTGCTCCTCCTATTTCAGCCACCCGAGTAGCTGGTATTACAGGTTCACACCGTAATGAAAAAGCATTATGATTAACCTAGTAAACTGATTTTTAATAATGCGTTATTTGATTTTCAAGGGCTTACAAAACCACTTCCAGAGAGCTAGACACAATGAATACAAGCAAGCTAATAATGAAAGTGAGAAACCACATGCTGCTGAATTGAGTATGTAGCAACATTTGTAAAGAAATGACAAATCATATCTAATTATTTCATTGTGCTTACCTTTCCTCAGTCAGAAAGCCTTCGGCATCTGGTTCATTTCTATAGACATTCCGTGGTGATTTGATATCAATTAATATCTACCTGCAGCAAAGGGTTGACAGTGTTTCTCAATTCACAAGCCCAACATTTTGCAGTATTGGGCATAAGTGAAGGAGCTTTTCAGGTTGCTGCTAAAGCAAGTCAAAAAGATGCGAAGTGGATGTGAAACCTTCATATTTGGTACTTCTATAGCAGATTGTCTTCTCTCCTAGAAGAGAAGCCAGGAGACAGACTAATCCATTTCTCTAATCCCTGTGTTGTTCGCTGAGGCTCCCAAAGCTCTGGGAAGGAATTTACTCGCAGTTCTCTAGAGATGGAGGCAGGGAGCTTGAGTGTGAGTCCAGTGGAGACTCTCTTTGGAATTTCATCTGATCAGAGGGTCACTGTCCATTTCTCTTCTCAGCAGGCCTAGGAAAACACCAGGGCCAATACCCTGGAGGGAGCCAGCTTCAGGATTAATTAGGGCTTGATTAATTAATGAAGGTGTGAATCTAGGGCTTAAACAGTAGTTAACTAAGAAATATGTATTTGTTTTATAAAAGATGAAATTTATGGAACAGTGTATCAAGAATTGCTATTATTTTATAATATAATGTGCCATCTAAGTTCTTTCTATACATTATTTCGTTTAAAGTACACACAAAAATGCAGATGAGGCCAGGTGCAGTGGCTCACGCCTGTAATTCCAGCACTTTGGGAGGCTGACGGAGGTGGATCACCTGATGTCAGGAGTTCGAGACTAGCCTGGCCAACATGGTGAAAACCCATCTCCACTAAAAATACAGAAATTAGCCAGGCATGGTGGCATGCACTTGTAATCCCAGCTACTTGGGAAGCTGGGGCAGGAGAATCAATTGAACCCAGGAGGGGGAGGTTGCAGTGAGCCGAGATCGCACCACTGTACTCCAGCCTGGGCAACAGAGTGAGAATCCGTCTCAAAAAAAAAAAAACAAAAAAACACACAGATGAAGATGAAGGCCCTGCCTTGACTGTCCTGTGAACAGTATGCAGTGGGGAGGCTGAAGGTCTGGCCCCTTTGCTTCTGGTGTCTTCACCGCCAACACTTCTGCCCCTAAGTCTCTGTGTAGTCTAAGGGATTGTTATTAGTTATTTCCCATTTTATGGGTAAGGAAACTGAAATCCAGAGAAATGGAGTGAGTTGGTCAAGTGTACACAGCTCATTTCTTACCGTAGTATTTGCTGTTCACACACTGTGTATATGACCCTTTAATAGGCTAATCTAAAAGATTAATCTAAAAGATTAGATAGATTCAATGCCACTATAGCCTGGTGTTATACATATCGCTATCTTCCTGTTGAAGAGGAAGGTTCTTAAATTCTGAGACATTTGATAACCTGCCTGAGTTATGTGTAAAAGCTTAGATTTAAATTTGGGCCTCCTGACTTGAATCTTGCATTTGACTGTACCACTTCTGCACCTGGCAGGTGGAGGAATCAGAATGCCCAAAACCTAGATAACTCTAAATAAGGCCCAGTCTGAGTCGTGCTTCATGGTTAGGTTCGTAAGTTCAGTGCTAAAAAGGTTGATTTTTCTGTTTTTCTAGGGTCTGTTTGCTGGATTTAAGATACGCTGTCTCCAGAAATATGACAAAACAATTGTTTTGCTTGCTCATTTTTTGTTTTGTTTTGTTTTTCCTTCTTACAAGGTAACTAGTATCCCTAGCACACCAGAAATAATTGGTACTGATGTTTCTGACAAAAGGAATCTGCTGAAAGTGACCTTTAAATGCCTTTTGGTGGAGTGATTATTTAATTGAGGCAATTTGTTTTCTCAGAAAGGAATTAAAAGGTTCTATAGGCTTTGCTAGCTAAGATTTTTAGTTTTAATCACCTCCTTGAAAACATTCTCCTTAATCTATTCTGAGTAAGATGGTGGGTTTCTTTGTACTTTGGCCTTTAAATTTTTTTTTTTTTTTTAAGACAAGCCCTGTCACCCAGGTTGGAGTATATTGTCACAATCGTAGCTCACTATAAACTTAAACTCCAGGGTTCAGCCATGAAACACAGGTGATCTTGACTCAGCCTTTTGAGTAGCTGGGACTACAGGCCCACCACACTGTCTAATTACTTATTTGTTTATTTTTTGTAGAGATGAGGTCTTGCTATGTTGCCCAGGCTGGCCTCAAACTCCTGGCCTCAAGATATTTCCCCCTGCCTTGGCCTCTCAAAGCGGTAGGATTACAGATGGTTCTTTAATTTTGAAATTCACAGATTAAGGTGGTTACTAACCAATGAATAGACCACTCTTGTTCTTATCTTACTCAGAATCTACTTGAAGAAAGTCAAACACAAAATCCCTTTGAATTTAATGGTCATTCCAGGTGGTTTGAACTGCCAAATAAGAAACAGGTCCTCTTCAATGTACAATCTGCCAAGTATGAGGTCTGAATGACCATCATTATTATGTATTTAATGCACATAGAAAATCTATCTGCAACCTTCCAGAGTGTACCAGAAGTTTGGAATGCACATTATTATTGGCTCCATCTCAAACCAGTCATAAATCAAAGAAAAGAGCAGTTCCAGGGGAAGCATCATAGAGGCTTTTAGGCCCCCACGCTGTGTGAACCTGGTGAGAAAGGGAAGTCTGCTCTCACTGGACACTGGAACTGTTCGTCTCTGTCTCTGCTGTACTGTCCCTGTCTCTACCTCACTCAATAAGGAAATCATCTTTGCTTGATAACTAAAACAACCAAAAAGGCTGAGAAAGGGGAAAACCCACATCTGGATTTAAATACAAGGTAAGAAATGTTTTTGTCTTTAGGATACCCCACTCACTTTGGGAAAGTGATTTCATGTGATATATTATTCAAGACTCTCATCAGCAAATACTTTCTGAATGTATACTGTGTTCTAGGTATTGGGCCAGCTGCTGGGGATTAAACTTTAAACAAAACAGATAGAATCTATGTCCTCATGGGAGTGGCTAATGGGACAGTCAGAAGAAAAATAGCCAAGGCTAATCCAGCAAATGATTTGGTGAATGCTAGGAAAGACAGAATACACATGCTCTGCGAATACCAAGCAGGAACCTAACACCTAACCTGAACCTGGGAGCTGGAAAGGGTTTCTTGGAAGAGACAGAGACTAAAATGAAGAATACGCATTAAGACAAAGCTGGGGTGGGGTCAGAAAAAGTGTGATAGGCCAACACAACAGCATGAGCCAAGACTCAAAAATAAGAGAGAGCGTGGCACATTTGATGTAGGAAAGACATCTAGATGGGATAGAAAGAAGGCTAGTGTTGGGGCTGGATGAGGTTGCATAAAAGTTTGTAAGTCAAGTTAAGGAATTGATCAAATTTATATTTTAGAATGATCACTCTGACCTCAGCATTACATAACCTGAAAGGGTTAAACCCATACATCTGTAGAGAGACCTGTTAGAATAAGACTGCAGTAATATGGTGAGAGACACTGGTGCCTAACTAGCCTGGTGATCATAGAGATAAAGGGATATACGGGAGAAGTAGAGCCGGCAGCCATTGATAACTGGTGGTTAGCCAGGTCAAGGGGACAGTGTCTGCTTTAGGTAATTGGCTTAATGATCATTTTCAAAGATCAGGAACACAGGCCTGAGAGTACATTTGGAGAGGAAGATGATTCGGGTTTGCGTCATGTAGGGTTCGAGGTGTCTATGGGACACTATATGTAGAAGTCCAGTAGGCAATTAGTTCTGTGGGCCTAGCACTCAGAGGAGAGTGCTAGTCTAAAGACAGAAAATTGGCAGTCACCAGCATGTAGATGGTAATGGATGGTATGATCTGGGGTGATTGCTGAGGCAGGAACATGGGCACAATTCTGAGGAGTGCAAGCAGCCAAGGGATGGGGCACAGCAGGAGCCTGCAAAGAGACCAGAAAACAAGAAATAGGGGGAAAGCCACGGAACACTGTGATTCTACGGAATCACGGAATTGAAGACAAACAGTGTGTAACTAAGTACAGGCCCCTTTACTAATATATATACACACACACACACACACACACACACATAGTTGCATATAAATTTATGTATAAATATATGTACATAAAAATTTATTATATAAATCATATATATATATAATTTTTTATTTTTTTATTATTATTTTTGAGACACAGTCTCCCTCTGTGACCCAGGCTGAAGTGCGGTGGTCTGATCTCAGCTCACCACAACCTCTGACTCCCAGGTTCAAGCAATTTTCCTACCTCAGCCTCCCAAATATCTGGGATTACAGGCGTGTACCACCACGCCTGGCTAAGTTTTTGTATTTTTAGTAGAGACAGGATTTTGCCATGCTGGCCAGGCTGGTCTCGAACTCCTGACCTCGGGTGATCTGTCCACCTCGGCCTCCCAAAGTGCTGGGATTACAGGCATGAGCCACTGCGCCTAGCCTCATGTATTTTACTATAACAAATCAGTGTAGGTCAAAAGAAGTTAGAAATGGAAGCTAATGGAAATAAAGAATAGGCTTTCCTGTTAGTATCTATAGGGGTGTGTGTGTGTGTGTGTGTGTGTGTGTGTGTGTGTTTGTTATTTAGGGAAAGAAACAGGGAACTTGGGGCATATAATATTTTTGTTCCCTTAGCTTAGGCATATAGGGTATATTTAGTTACTTAATACATTTTTTATTTAGAAGTTATGTATAGAGCATTTTTCCTAGGCCAGTGAGGGATTAAACAAG